CTAGTAGAACTTTTCGAGAGCTAAGTATTCATATATATTCTTTTGCTTCTTCAGTATGTTGAATACATCGACAGCCTCACTCTCAGACTTGTAATAAGTAATGGATAGGATAAGAAACCCAAAAGGCTATCTAAGCAATAAGCTACTACAAGCTACTACCCACACCCAATCAATTAAAATAAAATCCTATTGAACCCTACATAGCTATTCCGGAATAATTATTAGAATATTCTCCCTTAATATATGTCGTACATATGTCCAATCATCGTCGTTATTTTTAATAAGGTTGGCGTTGCTCCTTAAAAGTTCGTAATATTTCTCCGAATTATGTTAAAGTGTTTTCCACAAAATGATTATTTGAGATTAAGGAAAATATTTCACGGTATCATGCTTCAGTCATGATATACTCTAATATTCGTGACCAAATAATTGCAAAGAAAAGTTTTAAATTTAACATAATAGATACCTCAAGCTGCTTTCAAAATTGCTCCGATTACTTAATAAAGTCCTTATAAACATCTAAATCACACATTATGCTTTAAATTGACATGGGAACCGGAAAACAAATCGTGGATGTCACAAGTCTTTGACATTTAAACTACAATTATCTTTCAAAGACTTTCTAAGAGTATAAATTATTTAATTTAGACAATCAACAAGATTTTTTTCAAGATTTTAGGTAAGAATGCTGTATAAAAAGTATCCGGAATTATTAAAGAAAACTAAATTAAGTCATTAGTAGATCCCATCAGGTAAAAAACAACTATGTCAGCGCTTGAGCCATTACTTTCTCATTTTTTCGGAAGGTCATTAAATTTTCTTTTATAGATATAATATAATTTTTTAAAAATTTAATATTTCCAATGCAAAAAGTATCCGGAATTATTAACTGCATCTACCTTAATTCGTTAGAAGGACTCAGTGAGTAAGATACAACTATGTCCGTGCTTGTGCCAATCCTTTTACAATTTTTTGGAAGGTCAATAAATTTTCTTTTATAGAAATAATGAAATTTTTCGAAGTTTTTAGATTTCCTGTGCAAAAAGTATTTAGAATTATTGAGTAAAACTAAATAAAATCGTTCCAGGGTCCTCCCATTGTGTCAATCCTTTTGCATTTTTTGAGATGGTCATTAAATTTTCTTTTATGGAAGCAACAGAATTTTTCAAAGAAGTTAGATTTCCTGTGTAAAATGTAGCCGGAATTATTAACTGCAACTTTCATCATTAGTAAGTCTCATCGAAAACAATATAACTATGCCAGTGCTTGTTCAATCCTTTTACATTTTTTTTGGAAGTGGATTAAGTTCTTTTTTGTGGAAGCAATAGAATTTTTTAAGGCTTGGTCGATTTTAATTCCTGAATTTTTTTTTTAAATATTTCTGGTACCTCAAACCTCAATAGTGTAATTGTAAAAAAAGTTTTTTTTTTTTTGTTTTTATATTTTAACAATGAATAGTTTAAATCAACAACAACTAGTCATATTTATTAACAATATTACAAGTAATGTTACTTATCGAAAGTGAACATATGGATCTGAACTAGTCATCTCCTTGCTGGTTGAAACACATCAGAAGTATTAATGTTTTTGACCACTAAAAAGTAAAGCTGTTTAAGTGTTGACTTAGTCTGTGATGATATGTATTGGCAGCCGTCTGTATTTTTTGCCTGATAGTAAGTATTATCAGGATATTAAAAAAATAATTGCTGTAAATATAATGGATCAGATATCACGTTTTGGGCTGGCAAAGTAACATAGTACAGTTCTACCAACTTAAAACTGTGACTTATAAGCTTGTACTGAAAGTACTTAGACTATTAGCTCTTGAAAAATCAGAAAAAATATATCAAAAATATGATATTTGAACAACAAATATCCAATTTTCACGTAGTTTTGGCTCGTTCGGTTAAACACATCAAGTCATTGCTTTTAATTTAACAGATGCAATGTTTTAAGCTTGGCACTTATAGTCCAACAATTTTTTACTTAACATATTTCTACTAACTTAAACTCTACTAATATCCATTGAACATATTGATGAACTACTAATGTCCATTAAACATTTTGACTAACTACCAAAAATCCATTAAATACTTCGATAAGCTACTAATATCCATTAAACATCTTAATGAACTTATGCAATTCAGGAATGCATTGTTATGAGTACTTTTGGGTTTCATATTAAAAGTCTCATATATCATTTTAATTGCATTTTTGAGTGCAACTAACACTGCCTTAAAATGTTATTGTACTGGTACTGAATGCAACAAATTTTTTAACCGCAAGCAAATAAATGAATTTTAATCTTCAAATTCCAGCAGAAAATGCATGGCGTCGGGAATGCATGTATGCACATGAACATTCATGTACTAACACGTTCTTTCACGTTCCTTCACGTGGAAACATGTCTGTGCTTCCGCACACCTACAACTACAAACCTCTAACCACATGAAACCAATAAATATTCTTGTAGTTTCGGTTTCAGAAACAATGTTGCATTTTGTTGTACTTTTGGTTCCATTGTGCTGAAGCTACATTGTTTCTCTTTTTTTTTTTGCATCCTTGTACCTCGGTGCCCATGGCAATACCTGAATTCTTTTGTTTTAACAAATTTGTGAATGCATTTCAGAGAAATATTTTCATTTACTGATCCTTGTGTATTGAAATGAATTTTTATTCCATTTGCTTGTGGTTTTAATGCATTTGTAAGAGGATTAACAGAATAAAATTCTAACACCTGATTCTTATAAAATGGTTCTAACAAGTATCTAAATCTGCTAAAACTTTAAAGGTTTAAGAATATTTTTTTTTGTAGAACTTTAGTAAATACACCAGAAATGTAAATAATAATTTAATGCATTCAAATTACTAAGTAGCTACAGTTAATATAAATGTCATTCAATGAGTTGCTTTTCTCTATTGGAGACTGGTTCGAAATACCCAAGAGAGCGTTCGCACTGCACTCTATTCACTGTGTTCTTTAACATCCGGTACTGTTGTTGATTTTCTTTACAACAGATTTTAAACGCGATTACTCAGTTTTCGATTATTGAATAGTAAGACATCGGATAGAGATTAAATACTGGCTGAGCTTTTTAAAAATCGGGTGATCGTCTTTAAAATTTTTTAAGGAAATCGTAATTGGCATATGACAGTAGATATAACTACACTTGCAGTAGACCATAAGAGTTCAGAAAAAGAGTCGCAAAAATGAAGTCAAACAGATTGTGTTAATTACAGAGATAACAGCTTCCTCAAAGTCTTTTATAAAATTCTCATTAATGTTCAACTACAAATAAGACAAGCAGTATAATCTGACAATATTAAAGTAGATTTTCTTCTGACTGAACGAGGTAGTTTAAATTATTTATTAGTTGACAAATTTTAGATAAGATAAGCAAATTCAATACCATCTGCCCTTTATTAAATTCTCTCTGTAAATAAATCACAATTTCCTATTCAAACCATGAGAGAGCTTGAGATATTCCAATACTTCAATACACTTTGTGAAAACTGCTATGAAGACTGTGAGATCTTGAGGGCAGTAAATACAAATCATTCGAATTCATTACTCATAAAGGGCTGAGACAAGGCGGTGTACTGTCCTGTTTAATCTCTAATAAAGCACTAAAAAACGCAATCTAATCGATGACATACGTAAAATGCTAGATTACTGCAACGTATCTGTTGAGGTGAAGTAGACTCCTTAAAACGGTTAAAGTCTGATCTGGCCTATTATAATCACTGATATTGAAGGTTTGGTTTTTTAATGTATCTATTCTCTTTCTTCTACTTCTTTAGACACTTTTTTTTTGATATTATTTTACACTATCTTTGTTTTAATTACATATTAAAGCGATGTTGCAGTGACATATGTCAGCTCAAAATGCTAATATATTTAGTTTATGGTTTGCCATTGTAGAATATGAATCTTGTAGCAACCACTGAACGTGTTTAATTTGTCAAAACTAGTTAGAGGACATCCGCATCTTCGATGGAAGGACCAGGTGATCAACGATTTGGGGGCGCTCGGTACTACCAACTGGCGTCAGAAAACAACTAATCGTGCTGACTGGCGGAGGCTACTCGACGCGACCAAGGACGACACACGTCTGTAATGGTCAAATAAGCTAAGTTAAAGGGTCATCGATATTAGTTTATATTGAATTTTTTTTAGTGTTAAGATTTGGTTTTCGCTTGATCAATATGTCAAAAGACAAAATTGTCATATCTGGTTAGATCAAAGTCCACAAGTAGCTGTTAAAAGACGATTTAATCCAAAAAGAGTCACTACTGCATGGACTGGCATTTGATATTGTGCTAGAATAGGTCGGTATCTTAGTGTAAACGTCTGAGATGTGACACAAATCATCAGTTCTAATTGATAGCTCCAGATGTTAAGTAACTTATTTTGTGAGAATAATGTATGCTTTCGATGAATAGATTATTCATAAAACATATAGCTTGTCCTATTTTGGTTGTGTTGAGTGATATCCTGCACATCTAAGTTTACGTTTTGGTGATGTGAATTGATCAGAGTAATCATGCGATAAGTCAAAAGTTGAAATTTTTTTTTTCGTAAGGTCATGTTAAAGATTGTGTTAATGCAAACATTTGTCAAATCATCGACGCTTAAAAATGAAGACAATAGTCGAGCTATGTGTCGACTACTATGTGTCCTATTTTAAAAGGACTCATTTTTGTAAGTTGTTTCTTGGGTAGCAGTTTACTGATTTTGTATTTTACAGTTAATGGTAAAGTTTAAACTATATTTTGATATAAAGATTTTAATCGCAAGTGTATTTTATTTTTCTTTACATTGGGAAGCACAAAATGTATATTTAACGAAAGTAAAACTGGTTTCAATTGTAGGCATCATTAAAAAATCATATAATAAATATTTTTTTATTTATATTTGTTATATATTATAATATTTAAAAGCAAGCGGTTTGTTAATATTTTATTTATTTGTAACATTTTGGTTATTTTCTCATTTACAGCGGACGTTCCTACAGCAAAGACAGTCATAAAAGTTCACAAAGTGATTTAAGCCTTGGAAGTGGTTCACCGAAATTATTGGCAAAAACTTCACTGAGTAAGTGTTTATTATATATAATGTTATTTATTTATATTTAATTTTCGAAAATTATTATTTTTAATATAATAAAAGCTGATTAAATAATTGAAATAAATGCGATTGATTAGTTAATATCAAAATATCGACTTGAAGCCCTTGAAACCTAATTCTAATATTTATAAATTTTATTTATTGAAATTGTAAGTTCAATTTGTTTTTTTTTTATATTGTTTATACTATATTAAGATTATTAATTATAAACGCTATATGTGAATACTTATTTATTTTTATCATTTTTTTTTATGAAAGTACAATCCGTTTTATTAATATCACCACATATTGGTAAGACTATTAGGCGCTTAACTGTCCAATGCCAGTTAATCTAATTCTGCGTAATTAAATTAGTAAATTATACTTCATAAGATTCATGAGATCCTACAAAGAGTGATTCATTCAACAATAACTATGCGGTACTTTAGAAATTGAACTAGTTCAGACTCTTTTATATGTGTACTTTACTGTACTATATACATATGTATAATACAGTACAGTATAAGTATATAAAAAACATTGAAAATACTACTTATTTGGATAACAATATCACCGAGAAAAGCTAAGCTGACGAAGATGTCTATAACCGCATTTTCAAAGTGAGGACAGCCTTTAATTAATTGTCCAGGATGGAGGTCTCCAGCCAAATTGCTTTCAAAACAAAGTTTCGCGTGTTTAACTCGAATCTCAAGTCAGTATTTTTCTACGCATGTGAAACATAGAAAAGCTCATCGAATTCTCAAAATCCACTGATCAGAAAGTATATCGAATACCAATATCGGTGCAAATCAACCCCAAGTTATAACGATGATAATAAAAAACAAATGGTCCTGAATCGGGCACACACTACGACGACTCGCAAATAATATAGCAAAGCAAGCACTGCAATAAAACCCACAAGAAAGTCGGCGACCCGGTGCACCAACAGGAACATGGCGGAGAACAATTGAAAAAGAATTAAGAGATGCCGGATTTGCTTAGAATGATGTCTCAAGAACAGCTCGTGATAGAGTACGCTTTAAATCGTAGGTGGAAGCTGTGTGCTCCATAAGGAGTTTGGGTTATTAGTAGTAGTAGTAGTAATATGAATACAAACCAAGTCACAGAGAAAAACACGGAGTCGTTACACAGATAGGAAAACAATGTTTTTGTTAAAATAGTTCTTTATACAAGATTTTAGCAAGTGATTTTTACTGCTTCAGCCAGTGATTCACACCTCTTCAGCAAGTGTTTCGTACCGCTTCAGCAAGCAATTCTTACCGGTTCAGCTATGAATCCAGATAGTTGTTTGCTGAAGCCCAGCTAATACCAAACTTCATTTTGTCTTGACGTGTCTAAAAGTATGCAAGTTTTCTGATATTGCAGTATATAAGTATTTCGGATCTCAGAAAATAAACACAAAAACTGTTGCATAAGTAAAGGCAAAAAATATAGATCACATAAAATGTTGATAACATTGATTTATAGCAAAATTGTTGCTCTATAGCTTAGTTACAAATGTTACTAAATCATCAACACATATTGCCACTCGAAATGGGAAAAAAATTTTAAATGCAAAAAATGACAATAATGTCAGCATATGTTGCGATCAGTTCTTAGTGTAATGTTTATAAACATTTTGCGTCCGCCAAGGCACATGTGACTAAGCATTACGAGTATTTCTTTCTTAAGAGCAAGGTATTTATTTTTGCTCTCTCTTAACAGCTGTTGAAGTTGGTTTTTTTTAATTTGCATACAAAGCCAGTTTCTCTTACAGATACTTTAAACCAAAAAATAAATAAAAATACCACAGATAGTTTAAAATGATAAAAACAACAACAGCAACAACAACAACGAGTTATCGCTCTTTATATTGAATAATGACAACAGAAATGCTTGTAAAAAAACCGGTAAGAAAATAAATGTTGCTTTTATATTTGTATCTAGATACTTTATACTTTTGTGTATATATATTATATTGAGAAGAGTAACCAGTTCAACTAATAGCCAGGAAAGATGTGAAATAAATTCTAACCGCTCAGCTTGTGGGGTTAATTTTTTTTACCTACATAGTAGCTATATAAATTTTTTCTTCTATTTTTGTTGTTGTTGGTTTTGTTGTTGTTGTTGTTGTTGTTGTTGTCGTTACACAAAAGATACAGATACACAACAGCAGTTCGCGGCATTGTTGCGTTTTAGAGTTTTTTAGTCTGTTGCGAGTTTTCACAACAAAGACGTTGTGTTAGTAGAGGACGGTGCCGCGGTAAACGATCGCGCAATTATGTGAAAGAAACGTAAATTTACGTGACGCAAAAGCGTGCTAACTAAATGCAATCAGATAAAATATATTTTATTTTATTAAATTTATTTTTTTTTTTTTGAAAATCGGCAATCGGAAATTGGAAATAGTTTAAATATTATTAAATGTGAAATTGAATTATTTTTCTAAATTAATACGTCAGTGATCGGTAAAGAAATGTAACTACAAGTGCTTAATTAGTGCTTGAAGAAGAAGAAGAAGAGGTTATATTTGAGACTGTCTTCGGTTTTTGTGTGGAGGGCTTCTTCACATTGCTTCGAATTAAAGTTTCTATCCAACTCCATTTAGAGAAGAATAAAATGACTTTTAATTGGTGTTAATATTACTATGAAAAAAATAAAAAAATATTTCAAAAGTGTTGAATTCCTTTTTTTTTGATTGTTTGTTTTGTGAAATGTTTTAGTTGAATTACTCGTAATAAAATCACAAATGCTAGTCAGCAAACAAGGAAATATAAAACTGCAAGCAGAATTAATTTACAAAAATGTAATGTAAAAATGTATCTCAGCTCGTACTAAGAAAAATACTATAAAATAAATATAAAGAAAATAATATTAAATTGCTTGAAGTAAATGACTTTAAAGTGTTTCAGGTGTAATTTTATATTAATTGTTTTTTTTTTTTTTATATACAAAAAAAAAATACCTGTTGTTCTTATTTTTTCTTTTGCAGAAATTAAGTGACTGTCTAGTTGCATTTTATTGTAATTTTAAAATTATATACCGTATATAAAGATATCTACATGTTGGTCAATGTACTAGGAATCAAATGTTAAAATTTCGTAACGAATTGTAAATAAAAAAATTGGGTTTATTATCAACCATATATAATTAGTTTTTATTTTCAATTTTTAATTTATATACTCTTCTACTCTTCTATATAAATAATGATAATAATAATAATAATGATGATAAAAGGTATATCACATATGAACATTGCGAAAATTCCACTACAAACGGTCAGACAGTATATATTCTTTAAAAGTGCTATGTTAGGAGTTCAAATTAAAAGTCGATAAACACAATTTAAACAATTTATCTAAATGTCTTTTAGTCAATACATTAGCCTACAGTATTATTGTGAAAACATAACTAAGGTTATATCCGCTTCAATACTTTACAATTTCTTCAAACCCACAAGATAGTCGGCGACCCGGTGCAATGAAGACCATGATGTCTCAGGAACAGCTCGTGATAGAGTACGATCGTGATAGAGTTCAAATATTTAGATATTTACTTCCATTGGGTTCAAGATTTGTATATCTTATGTAGACATGTAACATAAAAATAAATTCATATTATTACCACCACCAAAAATGGTTTACCGGTAATTAAACACACGATCGAAGAATGTGATACTATACTTCTATTTCTGAGAAAAAAATATATATTGAACATTTAACTTAGGTTACGTTAAACCGGCGATTCTTAGGAAGTATACTTAGGCCTATTAACCCATTGTGTTACCGTATATATAGGAATAAATCAAGGTTTAAAACAATCTAGTACATTTGACGAAGCCTAAAGTGCTGTTTAGTGTCAGGTCTTATAATTGAACAAGATTTTCAACTAAGGATTTTCCTAAAGTGTTAAATTGCTGCCGTGTATGAGCTGGGCAGTAGTAGATGAGAAGCATATAACATATAATATATATTGTTATATATGGTTATATACATATATAAATATATATTATATAGTATTAATATATAACACTGTGAGATGAAAATGAAGCAGTGTTCTTTTTCCATTTGATTTTTAACGGCTCAAATTGGTAATCCGTTTTTTTCTAAGACATCTGAATTAGGAAATGATCCTAAGAAGATAAAAGTTCATTAGAATTTAAAGGATTAATGAAACATATTAAGAGACAAGAATTTTGTGTCTTCAGCAAACTTTAAGGTAGTAATAAGTAGAACAATAAATAGTAATAATTAATAAGCTACTAAGAATAGGCAAATATTTTTATATTAGACATCAGTCTCCGAATTTTCCAACTTTTCCAATACTGTTGGAACAGTATTTTTTTTGACAATAATAATATCAATGAATAACGAACAATTTTTACTTCAGACGTCATTCTCAAATTCCAAATCTTCTCTCTAAAGAGGAGGGATTTCTCCTATTTGAGATTGGGAATCGTAGAAAGTTTTTATAGTTTAAGTGTCGCACAGTAAAAATATACAACTACATACCTAATATAGTACTCGTAATAAGTGTTTATACAGTGAAAACTCTATCAAGCAGAGAGACAGCTCTCTAACAATAATATGTCATTAGTTCCCAGTTTTCATTTTCTCAAAGTGGATAGTACTCTTAATAGGGTAGAGTTTTCAGTATAATATACTATATTTATTAGTTAATAATTATAATATATAGTCATATGATTTCGTTAGCTTTAGTTAATATATATATATATATATTTTTAACACTTTATAAGACAGTCACTTAAGTTTTGCACATTTTCTTTATATCTTTCTTTTAAATTTTAAACTGAATTTAAATTGTTTAAAAATGCTTTAATTTTATATATGAAAAAAAGTAATAAACAAATGATATAAAATAAATCTGTATTTTGCCCCTCCTAAAATGCAGATTTTTATTTTTGTTGTCATTTCTTTTTATGGTCATTTTGTTAAATCGATTTAATTGGCATACTGGAAGCCGCTCTT